GTATTTTTTTAGTAGAGACGGGGTTTCACCATGTTGACCAGGATGGTCTCGATCTCTTGACGTCGTGATCCACCCGCCTCGGCCTCCCAAAGTGCTGGGATTACAGGCTTGAGCCACTGCGCCCGGCCCAGAAACCTTCTTATCCCCCCCACCTCTGGAGGCCCCTGTGGGTCTGGTATACCCAAGTTCAGTAAATGTCTACCAGTAAGTTAACTGTGCATACATTTTCTAGAATAGAGCTGAGACTTCCCATGTGGCCCACATCTGAAGGGCCATGTATTCTGGTCATTAGGGAGAGAAAGCCATGAGGACCTGGCCTTCTGCCCAACCCAGGCAGCTGTTCAAGTTGGACGATGGCTGGTTCAAAGACTCAGGTGCACCTGATCCGTGTGCGGCAGCCACGACAGAACAGGCTGTCCTTGGCGGCCGTAGGGGCAGGCGCCAGGTTTCCTGGAGCTCTTGGCTTCAGCCAGCCCCCAGCAAGAGTGCCGGCTAGGACAGCAACCTGATCTCCCCCTCATGACCTTCCGCCCTGGACAAGCCCCCTGAAACTGGCTTTGGGACTGTCAAAGCAAATCAACCCCTGCTCTGGTAGGCCGAACAATGACTCCCCGCCCCCCGCCCCCAAAAATGGCAGTGTCTTAATCACCTAAACCGAAATGTGACTGTTAACCTTCACATAGCAAAATGGAATTTGCAGTTGTGATTAAGGATCTTGAGATAGAAAGAGTATCCTGGATTTTTCAGGTAAACTGAGTAAAACCACAAGGGCCTTTGTAAAGAAGGAGGCAGGAGTGTCAGAGTGATGGAAGAAAATGTAACAATAGAAGCAAAGGTCAGAGTGATGCAATTGCTGGAGGAAGAGCCATGAGCCAAGGAATGCAGACAGCCTCTTCTCCCCTGGGGCCTCAGGAAGAATGCAGTCCTGCCAACGCCTTGATTTTAATTTGAAACCGATTTCAGATTGCTGACCTCCAGAATAGTAAGATGATAAATTTGTGTTGTTTGTTGTTTTCAGCCACTAAATGTGTGACAATTTGTTACAGCAGCCAGGGGAATCGAATGCAGATTGTGGTGCCTAAAGTAGAGTGCTGCTGTAACACGTGCCTACAAATCGAAGTGGCTTTGGAATTGCATTATGGAAATGAGCAGAGGCTGGAAGAATTTTGAGGATCATGATAAATTGCCTTAACCACATCTCTTCTGTTAGGTGATGTGGCCAGGGGAACGCTTCCACAACCTTCAGGCCTAAACTGCCCAGACACCCTTTTTAAACTCATATTTGGGGACAGGTGGCCCTTTCCCAGAGTGAGAAGACTGGAAGACTGACCAGTATGGACCCCAGAAGGGAGTGGGTGAGGAATGGGACTGGGATGTGAGGAGAGAGTGCAAGCCTGGCCTCCATGATCCATCTCCAGAGACTGGGTCCAGAGAGGACCTCGGAGACTGGGACCAAGCCTGTTCCTGCTCTTCTGTGGAGCTATGTGACTGGCCCAGGACCCCTTGGGTGTGTGAGGATGGGTAGGGGCCCTGTACTCTCTGGGTTGCAGGTACTGCATCTGTGAAATGAGCACAGCAGCCCCTGACTTTGAGCTGATGGGCCTGGCCCCTCCATGTAAGCCATAGGCCTGAGCAAAGCTGTGTCACCATTCTGTTCCTATGGTGGAATGGGGCCATCTCTCGGGTTTTCAACCTCCTGGTCCCCAAAACTGAAGCAGCCAACTGGTGCCCTCAGCCCTGTCCCTGTCCAGGCTGGGACTAGGACCTCCCTCTCCAGGGGTACTAAGGGACTCTGGAGACACCATCGCACCTGGCCAAGGCTTGGGGCTCCTAAAGCCAGCCCTAACCCAGGAGCCACATGAAGAGCTACTGGGAGGCCAGACATGGGCCTCATGTTGGTTTTCAGAACTGAGAAGCTAGGAGACAGACAGCATGGACACCTGGGTTCAAGCTTGGCCCAAATCACCTGAATACACTTTGGATGAAGCCAGGAGGGCCTGTTTATACTGGAATGAGTGGATCATGGCAAGACTTATGTTCAATCCCTGATCTTTTTTCCCGGAGAGGGACAGGGCTTACTTGAAGTAACAAAGCACTTGACTCCTGACTCCCAGTATTGTGCTCTCATCTCCCATTGCTTCCAAGGGCCTCTGGTTAGTTAATTGAGTTAATTAGGGGGTGCTTATATGGGTGTTCATGTAGCTACTAAACCCAGGGATTCTGGCCCATAAAGCCCACTGGGCTAGTTTCATGGGCAGATAACAGCCACGTTAGGCCAACTGTAGCCCCTGGGTGTTTGGACAGATCTGGGTCCCATCTGAAGCTCTGGTAGCTGTGGGAGGACAGCAGGATTTTCCTCTTGCAGAATGAGTGGGTGCCTTCCCCTCTGAGGGAACTGGCTATATAGCCCCCAGCCTCTGCCCCTCAGGGCCCTCCTGAGGTATCTGGAAGGACCTTTGGGATCTTTGGCCTCATAACCAGGAATCAGAAGCTTCCAATTCTAGGGCCCCCTTTTCTTCCAAAGACCACCTCATACACACAACAGTCCTACAGGAAAATGGTCAGGAAAGGCCAATTTTACAGCTCACAAAGTGGGAAAGGCAGGGAAGCCTACCTCAGTGTCACTGAAAGCCCTGAACTGAGCTGACCTTTTAGGCACCTGCTCCAGCCATGCCTAAAGCGGGAGAGTGAGAGAGCTCAGAGCAGCCCTGCCCTATGGTAGACAGGCCTGGCTAAGTGGCCCCCTTCCCAGGGGCTGGGGTCTTTTCCAGATGCTCTGCCTCTCAGAGCAGAGGATGTCACCTTATTGCCCCCTCTTGTACTAGGTCTGCAGCCCTCTTCTGGGGCATGTGGCTTGGGAAATGGAGGGATCAGATATCCCCTACTGAGCCCAGGGAGCAGATTGTTGGTACCTGAAGTACTTAGAGATCCTTGTGCTACAAATGAGGAAACTGAGGCTTAGCAGGACAGGGGCAGGGCTGGGGCAGAAAGGAATCTGCCAGTCCTTCCTTTGCCACCTGAAGACCCCCACCCCACCTTGCTTTCCAGGAATAGGCTCGCTTGCCTGGAGAGGCGGCCAAGTCCCTCTGCTGTTCCTGGAAGTCAATGTGAGGCTGAGCTTTGTGAGCTAGCAGAGCAAACCCTGAGCTGGCACTGCAGGAGCCTTCGTTGCTCTCGTACCTCAAAGCTAGGTGAGGGATCTGGACAGCCTGCCTGGCCTTCCTCCACCTCTTTGCCTTTTGAGCTCCTGCTAGGCACTGGGCCGCAAGCAGATGTTTTGCATTTATTAGTTTTAAATCTCACACAACTCTACAGTTAGGGGTTATTTATTTTATTTTATTTTGATTTTTCTAGAAATGAGGTCTTGCTGTGTTGCCCAGACTGGGCTCAAACTCCTGGGCTCAAGCAATTCTCCTGCTTTAGCCTCCCAAGAAGCTGAGACTATAGGTGCCTATCACTGTACCCGACAGATAGGGGTTTGGGTTTTTTTCGTTGTTTGTTTTTTTGAGACAGGGTCTTACTCTGTCTCCCAGGCTGGAGTACATTGGCATGATTATAGCTCAGCTCACTGGAGCCTTGAACTGTTAGGCTCAAGTGATCCTCCCACCTCAGCCTCCTGAGTAGCTGGAAATACAAGTGCAAACCACCCTGCCTAGCTAATTTTTATTTTATTTTTTGTAGAAACAGGGTCTTGCTATGTTGCCAGGCTGACACATGGGCTTTTTAATTGTCTCCACGTTGCAGTTGAGGACACCAACACTCAGCAGGGTGCAGTTATGGGTCAGGTTGCACAGCTGGACTGGAAGGGAGGATGAGGCTGCCATTGGTGCCCATTTGACTCTCAGAGACACCGAGGCCAGCATAACTAAGTCTTGGGCTGTCCCCTACAGAGATTACTGCAGAAGACACTTGGGCTTGTGGACCCTTGGAACAGGAGCAGAGGTTTCCAGGGCTGTCCCTAGAGGGCTTTCTAGAAGACCTGCAGCTGCTCCTGGGTGCGTCTCCTGAGGTATAGGGCCAGGGACTCCATCTCTCAAGCCCTACTATGTGTCAGGCACCTGGGGGATGATACCAAGTGGAGGGTCCTATAGAATATGGTGCATCCTTTGCCAAGTACTTCCAGGGTTATCTTACTCAACCTCCATGACACCCTGAGAGATGGAGGCTGTGAACCCCCTCATTATACCGAAAAGGAAACAAACAGGCCAAGAAACTTGCTTATATGCTGGCTGAGCTGTGATTCTGACACAGGTCGAGTGACCTGGAGCTGGAGGCCTTGATCGTCACACAAGGCTTGAGGAGGGGTGGACAGGACAGCCATATACCAGGCAGTAGGGACAGTCTGGGCGAAAGCCTGGAGTCCTGCAGACACATGGGTAGGGATGTGTAGGGGTGAGGTAGTGCTGGGGGGGTGCCCTTGGCTGAGCTCTGAATGCCTTTCTGGGGACCAGGGACCTAAAGAGGTTTTTGAGTTGAATTACAGGAGTAGAGAGGCATTGAGGCTGCTCTTTCTGGCTGTCAGAAAAAGGGGGCTGGGGCAGGGGGCTGCAACTCTCCAGAGTGTGGAGGCAGCTGTGGTCTGTAACAGTGGCATCAGATATTCTGGAGCAGAAGTGACTCACAACCATTGCTGAGGGGTTGGATGGGGGATGGCCAGGACCACAATGGGCCCAGGTATCTGATTGGGACCTGGGATAAATGGGGCCACCCTGAGTTGGAGACTGGGTGCTGGGGACAGTTGGGGAGTTTGACAGTGTGGGATGCCTTCAGAATATCCCAGAGGCAGTGTCAGGGCATCTGGAGATGCAAATGTGACCATATGGGGACACAATCCAAAGGCAGCCCTTGAAGTGGAGTTGGGAAGACCACTCTCCTGGGCCTGGGTGCTGGCAGCAACAGTACCGGGCACCTGGCGTTAATTTGTACACTCATAAATCCATCTGTCAGCACATCAGGGATCCCTTCTTTGGCCCATAGTACAGATGAAGGGACTGAGGCTTAACCTGCCCAAGGTCACATACAGCTAGCAACTGGCCATGCTGGAGTTTGAACCTAGTCCTCTGACATCCCAGCCAGGAGAGGGGTAAGCAGGCTGCAGAGGCCAAATGCAGCCCAGGACCTCAACCCCCATAGGAGCCCCAGGATCCAGTAAGGTGCCCCACAGCCAACGTGAAGGGGAAAGTGATGAATCAAACAGAAAGCAGCAGATGCAGACAAGCTCTCTCCCCGGCAGTCCAGGCACCAGATTTTCACGCCCACAGTAAAGGGGCCAGGCAGAGCACTAGGTGTGGGGCAGGAGAGGACAGTGAAAGTGGTTGCCGCTGAACCCAGACTCTGATGTACTCCGGATATGGGTGGCACGGACTGACAGACACCCAGCCCAGCTCCACACTGAAAGTTGACTGTATCTCAGCATGTGAGGATGTGAAGTTTGCCTTGTCAGGGGGAGCATTTCAGGTCCCTAGGCCTGTGAGGTTCTGGGATGAGGCACCAGATAAATGAGTCTAAAAACCCTTGTTGAAGACACTCCAGAGCTCAAAAACTGACCATTGCTCCCTACTCTCATGGCCTGCACTGAAAGCCACTGTTTCTTCATCATTCTGCTCAGCCCTCCTGCCTCAGCCCCGTAGAGCTTTGGAGCCCCTTCTTTCAAAGTACATTTCATGTGCAACTCAAATGTGTATTTTTAAAAAGATAAAGTGAGCATCTTGTTAGCATAAATGTATTTTGTAAGTGCAAATTCTTTCTTAGCATGAGGGGCAAACAGCAGTGAACACAAATGTTTGAACTGGGGGCTGGGATGGGAGTTGTAGTCTTATGTTGGTCTCAATGTCCAGTTTGATTTTGGTGGCACAGGACTAAGTTACCGCTCATTCTTACAGGTGAGCGTTTACAAATCCTAGCTCTGTGTCTGAAACCCACCTTGCAGTCTCTTTGATTTACAGGGACAGTAAGAGAAGCCTTATTTCAAGCTCAGCACAAACCCTGTTCTCTGAGGACATAGGAAGAATTCTAATGTGTCATAATTTGGTTCTGTGCCCATTTGAGTCTGTATGTGGTTTTCGAAATTGGGTTTTTTGTTTTTCAATAATTAAAAATATGAGCTGGGCATGGTGGCACATGCCTGTGGTCCCAGCTACTCAGGAGGCTGAGGCAGGAGGATTACTTGAGCCCAAGAGTTTGAGACAGCAGTGCGCTATAATCTTGCCACTGCACTTCAGCCTGGACATTAGAGTGAGACCCTGTCTCTAAAAAAGTAATTTTAGGCTGGGCATGGTGGCTCATGCCTGTAATCCCAGCGGTTTGGGAGGCCGAGGCAGGCAGATCACTTGAGTTCAAGACCAGCCTGGTCAACATGGTGAAATGCCATCTCTACTAAAAATACAAAAATTAGCCGGGTGTGGTGGCTTACGCCTGTTATCCCAGCTACTTGAGAGGCTGAGGCAGGAGAATCGCTTGACCCCAGGAGGCAGAAGTTGCAGTGAGCTGAGATTGTGGCATTGCACTCCAGCCTGGGCAGCAAGAGTGAAACTTTGTCTCAATAATAATAATAATTTTAAAAAATATTTTAAAAATGAAAGAAAAGAAAAGGAAGAAGGGAGGAGGAAGCAAGGAAGAGAGAAAGGGTCTGGATGCGGTGGCTCACACTTGTAATCCCAGCACTTTGGGAGGCTGAGGCGGGTGGATCAACTGAGGTCAGGAGTTCAAGACCAGCCTGGCCAACATGGTGAAACCCCGTCTCTACTAATAATACAAAAATTAGCTGGGTGTGGTGGCTCATGCCTGTAATTCAGGAGGCTGAGGCAGGAGAATCACTTGAACCCGGGAGGCGGAGGTTGCAGTGAGCTGAGACCGTGACACTGCACTCCAGTGTGGACAACAGAGCAAGACTCTGTCTCAAAAAAAGGGAGTGAAAGGAAGGAAGAAGGAAAGAAAGAGAAGGAACTGCTGTGGGGTGGTTGATGCCCCATGTGACCATTTCCTCCCCGGAGATCTGCCCTGACAGCTCCAGCCCCCACAGTCTAAGGCTCCCAGCACTCCCACCTAGCATCTGTCACAGCAAATGAATCTGGGCTACATGCTCCTGGGAGCCCCACCTGGCTCCAC